AAAATTAACACCTTAGTTTTAAAGGAGGATTAATCCATAGAAATAGAGCAGTCATGGATTTCCATATCCATCTTCATTTCTTTCATAGCCACAAAAACCTGCTGGATCTATGGTGATCCTCATTACCGAACCTTTGATGGAGTGAAGATCAACTTCCAAGGGACTTGTAGATACGATGCAGCAAAGAGCTGTCTTGCAAGTGGTTCAAATCTGACCAACTTTAGAGTAACTGTCCAACAAGAACACCGTGGACGAAGCAAGAAAGTCTCTTTCACACGCAATATTGAAGTGACTGTTGGCAATCATGTGATCACTCTAAAGAAGAGGAGAGTGGTTTTAGTAAGTGTTTATTCCATGGTTAATGAAAATGAATTTTTTCTTTAAATGTATTAAATTCATCTTTGAATTTGCCATGTTTTCTGACTTTCTCTCACTTAAATGAAGATATAGCTTTTAGTTACTTATCTGGGCAAAAGCTTGTTATTTACTTGTGTGAGAAATTGTGATTGTTTTTTCTTTCTGACCTGTGATTGCCCAAAATAATCTTGATTGTAGGTTGACGGCCAAAAGGAGAGTCTCCCTCGTGTGTTAAATATAGAAGGAGGCAAGATACGCATAAGAAGATTGAGCAAAAAACGTGTGAGGGTGAGGACCACCTTTGGACTGAATGTGATATTTGATGGCAACACGAAAGCTTCTGTAAGGGTACCTGCTGAATACATGAACCAAATGTGTGGTATTTGTGGCAACTACAATGGAGATAAAACAGATGACCTTCGTCTGGCAGATGGAACAGATGTTAGTGGTGGCAGGAAGAGGGACATCTTTGCACAGATTGGTAATAGCTATTTGGTGCCAGATCCATCAACAATTGGGTAAGTCTGACCTGGTCTACTGTTGATTATTGTATAGATTGTGCAGCAGCTGAAATATCAAATTTTTTTCCACACCTTCCCATAAGACATTGAATCATTTAATACATTTTTCTAGAAATCACAAAATATTGCATTGTTTGACAGAAATATCTTTTTGATTTGTTGCAAAGTACGTAATCAGGACTTATTTTCTTTTGAAACTAGGTGCCAGGCAGGCAGCCCTGATGACTGGGTTGAGTGCGTAGGTGGTCAAAATGCCATAGTAGACAATGATGGTCACTGTGGCACGATGAACAAGAGTGATAATGTTTTCTCATCCTGTGTTGAAAGTGGTGTTGTTGATGTTGCACAGTTATATTCTGACTGCCGGTTTGATGTGTGTCACGAGCTGATCTATGTTGATGAATCTTCAGCCAAGGAAGCAGCTTGTGAAGCTCTGTCAAATATGGCAGATCAGTGTGCTGCAGCAGATCAAGCTGTGACATGGAGAGCTGCTACTAATTGCCGTATGTGCATTTTATGTGTTTCTCTTGTTCTAAAAAAATTAAAAAGATGGTCAAATTTGTATTGGCCATTATCAAGTTCTCAATTGTTTTTGGACATGAAGTTTGTGTCTTGTATGATGGGAACAATTTAGGAGAATATGAAAAATAGTTTTCTTGTTATGCAATATCTGTTACCTTGAATAATTGAAAGTGTTTTGAAATTAAACCTTGGTCATTGGCAAATGCATGTTTGTTCCGTTTATAGCCCTGAGTTGTGGCAGTAATCAGGAGTTTAACCCAACTGCATCTGCCTGTCCTGCTACATGTCAAAATCCCAATGCTCCTGATGAATGTGAAGGAATCCCAGTGGAAGATTGTGAATGCAGAGAAGGCTATTTACTCAGTGGTGACACCTGTGTGGCTGCTGACCAGTGTGGATGTTCAGATGCTGAAGGAAATTACTATGAGGTGCTATACACAGTTTGGCCAATATTAGTGCATGTTTTAGCAAACTGATGGATCAAATTTGGCATTGTCATTACACGTACATTATCCCATGTAATATGTCAGCTAGTGTAATTTTTTTGTAAGAAGTGATCAAAGTGAAAGCTGATCATATTCATATTTTACATCTGAAGTCTGTAGGTTTATTTTGAAGATAAAGGAAGTCAATTCTACAATAGTGTATATAAACAAAGATTACATATGATATGAATGTCATTAAATTGAAGATCATTTTAAATTGCTAGCCATATTCAGTTTTTCTTTCAGTAAGAGTTTGTGAAATTTCATTATATTTTACCTTTTATTTAGCTTGGTCATTCTTGGTTGAGTGAAAATTGCTCCCTGAAGCATGAATGTGTGAGGGAAAATGGAAGGTCTATCTTGAAAGTCACTGTGTTACCAGCATGTCACACACAAGCCAGATGTAAACTGAAGAATGGCATTCGAGGATGCTACTGCAAATGGCCATTCAGAGGAGATGGTTACACTTGTGGAGGTAAAATCCATCAATGTGGTTTATGTTTTTCCATTTAAAGACATTATTATTCCAGGTTCTCTACCAACTACCATCAGTGTTTGTCTGTGTCATCAGTGTAGGTTATTGTACCATGGCAGTTGGTAATTCTTTCTGTCGTTGCCGTCGTCGCCGTCGTTGCTGTCGTCGNTTGACTGGTATCTATTTTTTTCTGTTGGAAGACCATCCAAATGGAGGATGGATCAACATAGATACTTTGTAATACTGTCAGAAAATATCTATGGGTCTGCTCCTGTTATTGACCATGTTACCTGTTGTGCAAGATTAAAATTCAGTGTTGACTGACAGTGCTATTATAAGCATTATTTATTATTGCATCAAAATTGACAAAATGACCTTTTTTGCATCTTTATTTTCTGTTTTTTGTCTGTACATTTGACAGCTTTGCTGCCTTGTTTGCTTTAAAGGTGGAATGCCTGTCTTTTGCAATTTGGTTTACTCATTTTTAGTGCTCTGATATATTTGAATTGATGAAAGCAGTCAGAGTTATGAGATAGGTAAAATTAACACAGTTTTAAAGGAGGATTAATCCATAGAAATAAAGCAGTCATGGATTTCCATATCCATCTTCATTTTTTTCATAGCCACAAAAACCTGCTGGATCTATGGTGACCCTCATTACAAAACCTTTGATGGAGTGAAGATCAACTTCCAAGGGACTTGTAGATACGATGCAGCAAAGAGCTGTCTTGCAAGTGGTTCAAATCTGACCAACTTTAGAGTAACTGTCCAACAAGAACACCGTGGACGAAGCAAGAAAGTCTCTTTCACACGCAATATTGAAGTGACTGTTGGCAATCATGTGATCACTCTAAAGAAGAGGAGAGTGGTTTTAGTAAGTGTTCATATATATTCAGGTTAATCAACATGGTTTTGTTCTTTAAATCTAGTAAATTCATCTTTGAATCATTCATGTTTTTTTACCTGCCTCACATAAATGAAGATGTAGCTCTTAGTTACTTACCTGGGCAAGGGCCTGTTATTTACTTGTGTGAGAAATTGTGATTGTTTTTTTTTCTTTCTGACCTGTGATTGCAGATTATAATCCTGATTGTAGGTTGATGGCCAAAAGGAGAGTCTCCCTCGTGTGTTAAATATAGAAGGAGGGAAGATACGCATAAGAAGATTGAGCAAAAAACGTGTGAGGGTGAGGACCACCTTTGGACTGAATGTGATATTTGATGGCAACACGAAAGCTTCTGTAAGGGTACCTGCTGAATACATGAACCAAATGTGTGGTATTTGTGGCAACTACAATGGAGATAAAACAGATGACCTTCGTCTGGCAGATGGGACAGATGTTAGTGGTGGCAGGAAGAGGGACATCTTTGCACAGATTGGTAATAGCTATTTGGTGCCAGATCCATCAACAATTGGGTAAGTCTGACTATTGTATAGATTGTGCAGCAGCTGAAATATCAATTTTTTTTTACAGCTTCCCATAAGACATTGAATCATTGACAAGATTTTTCTAGAAATCACAAAATATTGCATTGTTTGACAGAAATATCTTTTTGATTTGTTGCAAAGTACGTTATCAGGACTTATTCCTTTTGAAACCAGGTGCCAGGCAGGCAGCCCTGATGACTGGGTTGAGTGCGTAGGGGGTCAAAATGCCATAGTAGACAATGATGGTCACTGTGGCACGATGAACAAGAGTGATAACGTTTTCTCATCCTGTGTTGAAAGTGGTGTTGTGGATGTTGCACAGTTATATTCTGACTGCCGGTTTGATGTGTGTCACGAGCTGATCTATGTTGATGAATCTTCAGCCAAGGAAGCAGCTTGTGAAGCGCTGTCAAATATGGCAGATCAGTGTGCTGCAGCAGATCAAGCTGTGACATGGAGAGCTGCTACTAATTGCCGTATGTATTTTCTTTTTTTTTCTTGTACTCAATAATCAAAAGGGTTGTCAAATTTGTTCGGGCCATTATCAAGTTCTCAATTGTTTTTGAAATCAAATTTGTGTCATGTATGATGGGGACAATTTAGGAGAATTTGAAGAATAGTTTTCTTGTTATGCAATATCTGTTACAACTGTACCTTGAATAATTGAAAGTGTTTTGAAATTATACCTTGGTCATTGGCAAATGCATGGTTGTTCCGTTTATAGCCCTGAGTTGTGGCACTAATCAGGAGTTCAACCCAACTGCATCTGCCTGTCCAGCTACATGTCAAAATCCCAATGCTCCTGATGAATGTGAAGGAATCCCAGTGGAAGATTGTGAATGCAGAGAAGGCTATTTACTCAGTGGTGACACCTGTGTGGCTGCTGACCAGTGTGGATGTTCAGATGCTGAAGGAAATTACTATGAGGTGCTACACACAGTTTGGCCAATATTAGTGCATGTTTTAGCAAACTGATGGATCAATTTTGGCATTGTCATTACACGTACATTATCCCATGTAATATGTCAGCTAGTGTAAATTTTTTTGTAAGAAGTGTTCAAAGTGAAAGCTGATCATATTCATATTTTACATCTGAAGTCTGTAGGTTTATTTTGAAGATAAAGGAAGTCAATTCTACAATAGTGTATATAAACAAAGATTACATATGATATGAATGTCATTAAATTGAAGATCATTTTAAATTGCTAGCCATATTCAGTTTTTCTTTCAGTAAGAGTTTGTGAAATTTCATTATATTTTTCCTTTTATTTAGCTTGGTCATTCTTGGTTGAGTGAAAATTGCTCCCTGAAGCATGAATGTGTGAGGGAAAATGGAAGGTCTATTTTGAAAGTCACCGTGTTACCAGAATGTCACACACAAGCCAGATGTAAACTGAAGAACGGCATTCGAGGATGCTACTGCAAATGGCCATTCAGAGGAGATGGTTACACTTGTGGAGGTAGAATCCATCAATATGGTTTATGATTTTCCATTTAAAGACATTATTATTCCAGGTTCTCTACCAACTACCATCAGTGTTTGTCTGTGTCATCAGTGTAGGTTATTGTACCATGGCAGTTGGTAATTCTTTGTGTTTACCACAATAACTTGAAAGCAGAGTTACTTTTTTGCTTTAAAGGTGGAATGCCTGTCTTTTGTGATTTGGTTTACTCCTTTTTAGTGTTCTGATATATTTGAATTGATGAAAGCAGTCAGAGTTATGAGATAGGTAAAATTAACACCTAAGTTTTAAAGGAGGATTAATCCATAGAAATAGAGCAGTCATGGATTCCATATCCATCTTCATTTCTTTCATAGCCACAAAAACCTGCTGGATCTATGGTGACCCTCATTACAAAACCTTTGATGGAGTGAAGATCAACTTCCAAGGGACTTGTAGATACGATGCAGCAAAGAGCTGTCTTGCAAGTGGTTCAAATCTGACCAACTTTAGAGTAACTGTCCAACAAGAACACCGTGGACGAAGCAAGAAAGTCTCTTTCACACGCAATATTGAAGTGACTGTTGGCAATCATGTGATCACTCTAAAGAAGAGGAGAGTGGTTTTAGTAAGTGTTTATATATATTCAGGTTAATCAACATGGTTTTGTTCTTTAAATCTAGTAAATTCATCTTTGAATTATTTATGTTTTTTTACCTGCCTCACATAAATGAAGATGTAGCTCTTAGTTACTTACCTGGGCAAGGGCCTGTTATTCACTTGTGTGAGAAATTGTGATTTTTTTTTCTTTCTGACTTGTGATTGCAGATTATAATCCTGATTGTAGGTTGATGGCCAAAAGGAGAGTCTCCCTCGTGTGTTAAATATAGATGGAGGAAAGATACGCATAAGAAGATTGAGCAAAAAACGTGTGAGGGTGAGGACCACCTTTGGACTGAATGTGATATTTGATGGCAACACAAAAGCTTCTGTAAGGGTACCTGCTGAATACATGAACCAAATGTGTGGTATTTGTGGCAACTACAATGGAGATAAAACAGATGACCTTCGTCTGGCAGATGGAACAGATGTTAGTGGTGGCAGGAAGAGGGACATCTTTGCACAAATTGGTAATAGCTATTTGGTGCCAGATCCATCAACAATTGGGTAAGTCTGACTGGGTCTACTGTTGAATGTTGTAAAGATTATGCAGGGATTGGAATATCAAATTTTTTCTACAGCTTCCCATAAGACATTGAATCATTGACAACTTTTTTCTGGAAATAAAAAACATTGTATTGTGTTGACAGAAATATCTTTTTGATTTGTTGCAAAGCATGTTATCAGGACTTCTTTCCTTTTGAAACTAGGTGTCAGGCAGGCAGCCCTGATGACTGGGTTGAGTGTGTAGGTAGTCAAAATGCCATAGTAGACAATGATGGTCACTGTGGCATAATGAACAAGAGTGATAACGTTTTCTCATCCTGTGTTGAAAGTGGTGTTGTGGATGTTGCTCAGTTATATTCTGACTGCCGGTTTGATGTGTGTCACGAGCTGATCTATGTTGATGAATCTTCAGCCAAGGAAGCAGCTTGTGAAGCTCTGTCAAATATGGCAGATCAGTGTGCTGCAGCAGATCAAGCTGTGACATGGAGAGCTGCTACTAATTGCCGTATGTGCATTTTATGTGTTTTTTTTTCTTGTTTCTCAAAAATGAAAAAAGTGGTCAAATTTGTATTGGCCATTATCAAGTTCTCAATTGTTTTTGGACATCAAATTTGTGTCTTGTATGATGGGGACAATTTAAGATAATTTGAAAAATAACTTTCCTTGTTATACAATATCTGTTACCTTAAATAATTGAAAGTGTTTTGAAATTAAACCTTGGTCATTGGCAAATGCATGTTTGTTCTGTTTATAGCCCTGAGTTGTGGCCCTAATCAGGAGTTCAACCCAACTGCATCTGCCTGTCCTGCTACGTGTCAAAATCCCAATGCTCCTGATGAATGTGAAGGAATCCCAGTGGAAGACTGTGAATGCAAAGAGGGCTATTTACTCAGTGGTGACACCTGTGTGGCTGCTGACCAGTGTGGATGTTCAGATGCTGAAGGAAATTACTATGAGGTGCTACAC